GAGAGAGAGAGAGATTTTACCGTGCGGAAAACACGCTTACACGCAAACTAAATGCGGTTTTTTTTTGCGAGTAAGGCGAGAGTTCAGTAAGTATGTTAAGTATGTTTTTCGATCGAAAACCTTGAGATATAATCGTGATTAACAAAGCATATTTATTTCACCGACATTGCGATTATATTAATGTATGATTAAACGCATGAAAGGATTAATTTTCCAATAGGAAATTTTCTTATCGGCAATCTTGCGAGCTCGCGCAATATGGATATAGGTACATGAACGCCACGTTATCGAGTAATATTGACCAGGATGTGACGGATATGGTTGGATCGATACAGAAATAGGCTGCTATTCTCTTTTTGTATTTTGCGTAAGTCTGTCGCAATTTAACTTTGTTCATCTAATTAAGAGTTATATCAAAGAAATTTAGTAGTTTTAATATTAAATGTCAAATTTAATTATCGCACAAATTTAATTTTAGCTAGTTCTTAATTTTCTCTCAAATCTTATCTTATTGTGACTTAATTTTCCCTTTTCTCAGAAAAAAAATGAGAATTATTCCTTCTAGCAATAAAGAGATTAAAGATAAGGAACGCTTACGCCATTAGGGAATTTCCTCCAACCGCTTGAGACAAAGAGCGATATTCGTTTATATCTTTACCGTAAAACAGAGTGGAAGTGAACGGAGATTTCAGAAAGAAGCAAATTAAACTCTGCGTGTCCACATTTTCGGCTTGTCATTAAGCTTAACTTTCTCTTAAATATTGGCCGTATGTTGTCGTCGTCTGTAGATTCTTAGCGTTGTTGTCAGCGTTGTCAGCGTTAAACAAACATTAAAGCTATTTTCGGAATATGTTCAATCCTGTATGTTATTCTTTCGAGCCAATCTCAGGCGCGTGTTCTAATTAATTTATTTTGTTTCTAATTATTGCAATCATATATACTTTTTCTAATTTGTAATACAAACATACATTTCCTATGTTTTTTAATTCTGTTGACGATGAATATTGATTTTTTTAGTTACCGATCAATAAGAGTCAATATCTTAAGAGTAGTCAACCAAAGAGTTTCTGAAAAATTGCAGACTTGAAGAATTGTTGCTTAGGCAGGAGAAGAATCTTATAAAAGATTTAAATTTCTCTTTTGATAAACACAAGCTCAATATAACAGAAGGGTTGTATGTCGGATGATGACGATTGAATCGATATGAATGCGTTCGTTCCGCGCAATTTGCGTTCTGACCAACCGAACCACCGTTGTGCGGGATTGCTAATTCTAAACGGGACGATAAGAACAGAGCCTGAATTAAATGGGAACGAGATGCATCGCGTACTCGCACATACGCGAATTGTGCTTTCATATGCTATTGCAAAGCCGACCCGATTTATCGAGTTTAGCGTGTGATGGTAGATTAAATAAATTCACACTAATTAGTGATTCTTTAAATGAGGATCGCTGTTAAAAAAAAAAAATGAGATATTGCGCAAAGATTTTACAACAGTAAAATCTTTGCGCAAAAATTTACGCAAGAAAGATGCAAATTTGGCGATTAGATGTATCGCGGCAGAAATTACCAATTACATTTAATCGCCGTTTCAAGTACGAAATAATTATATAATAGCATCAAATGGAATTGCAATGTTTCTACAGATATCCATCATTGCCAACAATTGTCTTATTAAATATTGTTGCAAAGTATTTTATAAATATAACGAATACCATGGTACATAATAAGGTGTAGATAAACGTGATAGAGGTGAAAAATCCGAGGTCGTAGTCGAACTTGCTCCCGAGAATCGTCATCATCGCCTTAGAATTAGAGGGAGAGAAAAGGAAAAGACTAGACGAGGGGAAACATCAAGTAAAAGACTCGAGATGGTCAGGAAGGGAGGAGGTTAGTTGGAGCGAGGTGCAAAAGGTGAAAAACAGTTTGCCATCAGCATAACCGGTTTCACGTATCTCCGAGCGGGTCTCGCGCTCTCTTTCTCTCTCTTCTCTCTCGTTCTCCCGAGACTCGCCCGATCCGGCCAACGGGGTTTCGCCCGACAGGGTCGCTCGCTTTCTTGATGATAGTCGAGTACTGGCTACCGGTAGCGGGTGTCCTTATACAGTTAAAGACATTATCTCTTCTCTTGCCCCAAATTCCGTCAATCGGACGATTATACCCCATGGATTATTTTGCAGCTTTCATCTCGCTCTAAATTCGCAGATTCAATCGTTTCATCTACTTGATTGCGTCGTGATAACTTTATAAAATAAGCTTAATAATGAATGAAAACAGATTTTGTACGGATTTTAATTTCAGATTATTATGATTCATTTGCTCTTCTATACTATATTCAAGATGTTAAATTTGTTTATTCATAATAATATCTTAAGTAAGTTATTCATTTTTAATTTATTACCTTAAATAAATCATAATCAAGATTTTCATAGAATTCGATAGAAGCAAAATAAATGCAGTCAATCCGTCACTAGTATTAGTCTTTTTACAATCGATACACTCGACGGACAATATGTCTTATCGTTCTAGACTCGGTCCTTGGAACGAGGAAGAGGACTCAACGGCTAAACGGGGCGGAGATCCAGCGAGTTCGAGTATCGACCGTGATCGACACTGAAAGAGGACACTGAGAAAATCAGCAGAATGACGACGATACAAAGTTGCGGCGGCAATTCATCAAGATGTGCCAAACGCGCCTTCGTCTTCGTATTCGCCTGGGGACTACTGATGATCGCGGCAGTGCAGTTTCGTCACTTGGAGAACAGAGCGTTGCATCAGGTTGGAGGCCCCACAGCAGAGGACGGCATTGCTAATTTGGCGGAGGTCGATGACGTAAGCAACGATCGAGCTGCGGGTCGGGGCTCGTCAGGGAACTTGGGTTTGTCCCGATATCTCTTACAAAGATCGTCATTGGGCGACCTCTCCAACTCCGGCGCCCTGCTGACCACCCTGACAACCCTTAAAAATCGTTTGGAAGCGACGATAAGTCCACTGGAATTGGAGCCATTGTTGGACAAGAGACCGGCCAAGACCGAGCAGCAATTGATCGAGGAGATCGCCGAGAGAATACCGAGCTTACCGCTGAGCGATTGGTCCAAAAATAGCAAGTTAACAAAACGGGGCAACGAGAGTTGCGCAAAGTATCCGCAGATCTACGATCTCGAGTTCAATAACATTTACTGGCAAACGCTACGTACCAGCAATGGTACGTTCCAATTTTTTGGCGCGTTTTATGACAATCGAAAATTATCGAGGATCGGGCCAGCGATAAGGATCGTTGGTATGATCGATCGAATCGAGCCGACCGTGAAGACATATTGCCAGGTGTGGTACGAAGGCGAGAACGAGCCCAAGATCGTCGAGACGCTCGAGTATAAATATATTTGGTACCCTAAATGGGGTAATTATAAACAGGGCATCTATCAGCCATACGTGATAGCGTGCAGGTTACCGCCGCAAGCGTACGGCAAACCACCGTCATCCGTCTCCGTAGTAGAGAAACGTTGCGACACAGCTACCAATCATCTTCGAGTGATTTACAACAAACCTGAACGCAAAAAGGATTTTGCGGTATGCGTAAAGGGGCTGGATTTTCTGCACGAGGATCTGTCGGTTCGACTGGTCGAATGGATCGAGCTGATCAGCCTGCTGGGCGCCGACAAGATATACTTTTATGAACTGCAGGTGCATCCGAATGTGACCAAGGTGCTGCGGCACTATCAGCATCTGGGTATGGTGCACGTGACTCCGTTGACTCTGCCAGGTGGACAGCCGAATGTGCCAGCTTTCCAGCACATGTATCTCACGAAGAAGACCAATCACAAACGGCAAAACGAACTGATACCTTACAACGATTGTTTGTACAAGCACATGTACGAGTACGAGTACATCGCGCTACTAGATGTCGACGAGGTGATCATGCCTGTGAAGGACACAACCTGGCAAGAACTGATGCGCCGGGTGTTGCCCAAGGCCCTGCAAATACGGAACGAGACCCGTGCTTCGTACAACGTTAGAAATGTCTACTTCCTCGACGACCTACTACACTCTCACGGTTACTTCAAGGACATACCCAAGTAAGTAAAGTTTCCACTTTCACGCCGCGCAAATCGACCGTCCGTGAAGGGAACGCGAAGGTAGATGGCTCGCAAGTACGTTGATTATCGGTATCACGAATCTATTTTTACAATGAATTAACAAAAATTGCAGAGGAGAAACACGAAATTTGGTAACAGAATCGATATAAATATCTCTCGAGAAATAAATACTTGTGTACAATATTTCTCACGTATGTATATAATGTCTGTTTTATATTGTTACATTGTTTTTTCCTCATATCTTTTTGTAATGATGGAGAACATGGAATATATTTAGATAGTGGGTAGTAAATAGCTATACTCACACATTCGTTTATATGTTCCCAATGTATTCCTTTTTTTGAAATTACAGTCAGAGTTTTTGCCTCAGGAATATAAAATTTCAATAGATGTAATTGATAAAGTGAATAGGTATCATTATTTTAAGAAAAAAATTAATACGAATTAAATCGAATTAATGTTTTGGAATAGCCGCCTCCCTTAATTTCATAAAAAAAAAAACCAATCGAGTCTTTTGAAAAGATCAGTGGCAGACTGTAATCATAACAATTAAGATAATAAAAGTTTCGATGACTCGTAAGAAAATGTACAAGAAAAATATTGCATCGGATTATTGCAGAACATTGATAAATAGTGCCAAGACGGATAGACGTACTTAAAGCAAAAGATGAATACATTAAATATTAATTAATAAATAATTACATTCCGTTCCTTAAATAAATAAACGAATATGTGAGTCATTGTATATTTAAATCATTGTTTTAATATTAAAATCGCCAAAATAAATTGAGTTTGGAAAGAATTGGATAGTTGTGAGAAAAAAAAAAAAAAAACAATCCAAAAACAATAAAATTCTATGAAAAAAATATGAAATTAGGAAAGTATAGTTAAGATACATTCTCTACTAATGTCATCTTTTCTAAGAAAGAATTCCAGCCGAGAAGAAATATATTCTTGATTCGAAAATTTTTTCCTCGTAGGTATATGCACATGCTCCAACACGTATATCGCTCGAAGAACTTTACAAAACCGAATCAATACATCAAGTGTTTCCACAATCCGGAACGAGTGGTCACTCTGCACAATCACTTTCCGTTGGCGTGCCTGGGTGCCGGATGCACCAGTTACCCCATCGAGACCGAGGATGCGCAGCTGCAACATTATCGCGCCGACTGTGTGCGATCGCTAAAGAAAACCTGCGTGGAGTACCGGGAGAACAGTGTGATAGATACGACGATATGGCGTTACAGGGATAAACTGATCGGAAGGGTCACTGACACTCTCAAGACGCTCGGCTTCTTCGGCCAAAGATAGCGTCCAAGATTGATCTCCCCTTTTTCTCACTATCGTTTCTCTCTCCCATGAAGATTTGATCGGTCGCCGCGAGAAGGATGAAAGAAAGGGCTGCGCGCGGGACGATGAGATGCGATGAATCTATCAGCGGGAGGTAATTGCCGGTGGGACTTGATCAGAGATTTAATCGAACAGAGATCGAATCGGGATCGATGTAACCGGTAAAGTGAATTTATTTTTAGTGACAGCGTAACGTCGTATATTTCGTCTTGATATTTCCATGTAGTAGAGTTGTATGCGTGAGAAGGGTGGATCGATCTGATAATAGTGTTATAAGTATATTATAAGTATATTATATGCATATCGTGTCTTGAGCGACAAAATATTTAAAATCTTGACGAGAATCAACAGTCAAGATTGGAGTAATGATCGTGTTTGTGACTTAATATAAAACTCATTATATCAATAAAATAGAATGGCGTGTATAAACATGGGATTTGCATCAAAATTCATTTTTTATTGAAATACACACACACACACACACACACACAACTCTTGAAATTGATCCAAATCTATCTCAAAAAATCATAAATGAATTCATATCCTGGCAAATCTTAGCGGAATAAAAATGCAATTTACACGGAAAATTATTACGTTCCATTTATGCGAGTTCAATTAACACGGTCATTTTCGGGCATCCGTTAATCTGTGCAAAACTGCAACGGGAATTATCTCTAGACTAAGCGTAATTGCGGTTCGACTTATATCAGAATTGCAAATTTCGAATCGCAAAGACGAGATCGATGAGAAAACTACAGTATTCTATTTCTTTCTTTTTTGTAAATAATTTTCTCGAATTTCGATATATGCTCAATATAGGAGTACCAAGTCTGCGATCAATAGCCATAGTAAACAATTGTAATGTATCGACAATGTATTTCGATTGCATTTGATGTTGCAATTTTAAACTTGATGAATTTTTAAAATTATGCAGAGATTAAAAAAAATTATATAAAATATATAAAGTACTAAAAGTATAATATTTATGTCGCCATTATAAATGGCGTTACGTTGTTGTCGAAAACATATTTAGATGATAAAATGTAGGAAATTCTTTTTTAATTAATATTTGAAAATGTTTGTTTTGGAATAGTGCTAAAAAGGGTCATAGCACCATTCCAACGACAGAAATGCTGTGAAGCGTATAAGCAGTGTTGAAGACTTCTTTTAGAGTCTTCCGTAGTCGTGAAGTGGTTCATAGATTTTTGGAACAGAAATCAAAAACTATTTCAATTGTTACTATATTCAACAAGCGAGAAAACATAGAGAAACAAAAGGGTGCAACAAGATACTATTATACAATTTATATAATATAGCAATATTAATTTTAATTTATATTGGTATCAGAGGAAATTACAACAGGAATTACATGATTATATGATATTCTAAATTATCATATATAGCTTACATTTGTTAAAGAAAATAATGAATATAACCATTACTTATTTTGCCAAATTTATTTACCGCTTCATGATTTCGGGAACTGTTTTCTCTTATGGTGAACCTCGATCGCTTTCTGCACGATAAAAATTGATAATTTTTTACGATTCGATGTAAACATCGCTTGTTAAGATAAGAAGGCGATTCATGTTTCACCATGAGACATAAGGGGACCATTGTAGATAATAGTCAATAAGTGTTAGGAAAAGTTGAAAACTCATGCAAGATTTCATTGGCCTATGCGAAAATAAAATAATATTCTTTAAAGCATATTGTGGATTATTTCTCAGGCTGATATACATTGATAAAATGATACAATGATAGATAAAATAATGTCTTTTTTTATTTATATAATTAAATGTGACTTAGTTTTGTTTTTTTTTTTAACTTTCATTTATGTAATTTATGTAGAGATTGCGTATAATTATGTAAAATATAATTTCATACATATGTCCACAAGTAATTTTATTTGGTCTTAATGTTAAACATATAAATACGGTTCGAGGTAAACAAATTTAATATTAAAGTGCAATAATCGACTCTAATTATTAGAAAAATGAATTATTTTTTAGAAATTTTGTTCGGTTAAAAACCTAAAATAAATTTCTTGCGTGGCCATTATTCATACACCGTTATATGATGAAAATTTACGTTTGCTGTAATAATTTTCTTATATATGTGTTTAAAATATCTATTTATGAGATAATAAATCACTACAAAAAGATAAATATAATCATGTTTTTTTGGGATATTTCTAAAAATCCTTTCTAAGTTGCCTGATTGGAATTTTTCGTAATTTTGATTTATTATAGATTAATTGTACTTCAGATTCAAACATTGTTTTTACATTGTTAGAAACTAAATAATCTTAAAATATATAATATAAAAATAATTTCCCACTTATTACACATAATAATTTAATATATTCAAAAGTAATGTTAAAAATTGGAAAATTATAAAACAGACAGCACTTAGTTTTATATCAACGAAGAAAACTATTTTTTTTTAATTCGTCGAAAAATGTGTGCAATTAAGTGAAATGATGTAATTTTTGAATCATTATGCAGATTTGCATCCATATAGATCGTGTGCATAACGCGAATGCGAGTATAATTTTGGGATATCTTCTTCCGATCTTATTGCGACTAGCATTAGTGTCATTTGTAACGTTTGTAATGTTAACTTATCGAGCATGTGTCCAAATTGTCGAGTGTGATGAGCTGGCATGTCGTTCGACATACGTCAGGATCGATCGCGACTTCAATATAAACTTTCGTCGACCAAACGTCGATCATGCACATACGGCACTTTCAATGAGAAAAATCATCTCGAACTGCAACTGATAACATTATTATGATAACATTATTTCTCATTAATCGATAAACTGTTTATTTTATTTGTTTGTTTTCAAAGATACTCCAACAATTCTTAAAATACAGCGATACAATTTTCTAAATAGAAGTAATAATTTTATATAATACGTGAGTTAAGTTGAAGAAAGAAATAGTTGAATCAATCAAAGCTGTATACAAAAATTAGAATTTATAAAGAAACATTGTAAAAGTACGTTAAACAACACAACCATTTAAATTACAATTTTATTTTTTGGGAATATTATTAATAAGTAGCATTAATAAGTAGCTTTATAAATATTTAATATTGCAAATAAAAGACGCAATTTTTTAACGCAAGTTAAGCTAAAGTTATTCGATTTATATTACACTTATATTCGTAATTTTTAATACCTATGTATACAATACATGTACATATTATATTACAAAAAATAATTTTTAAAGGGAAAAGTTTCCAGATATTATTTTGTCTGTATATTATTGATATATTAAAAAAGAAGAGCGAATATATTCTTATATATCTCTTCCTAGATTTTTATTTTATAATCGACTTGGTTCAAGATAATTAATTTGCCTGATAATTGAAATAACTGTGCCGACTGGCAATATTGCAGCGTAAAATTCTTTTTCTTCAGTAAAGTTCAGTAAAGACATCGATAAATAAGGTAGCTGAAGATAACTGATGAGTTGCCTTCCGAGGATATAAAATTTGTTGGTCGATCTCAGTTTTCTGCGAAGAACAAATTCAATGTAATGTAAAATTTTTGCATTGCACATTTTTGCATTTAGAAAATAAACTCTAATGTTTTCTTTTCTTGAAAAAAAAACATACACACAATCGTAGTTTTACCAAATATGCATGAAAATTTTTATTATTTTATAATTTTAAAGAAAAATTATACAGTGAATTCTCAAATCAAAATTTTGCGTTCAATTTTTTAGCGATCACTTTGAGTTTCTATAATTCGGAAAGAAGCGAGTCTTTTAATAGAGAAAGAGAAATTAAAATACATTTCTTCATCCACGTTGTGTCGTGTTCATTTCATCGATCCCGTTTTTCTCTGCAAATAGCCATCACTAAAAATAAAGCACCTTCCCTAGTTAACGGTTTCGTGGAGAATCACGTAGCACGGTGCTTCTCTATGTCGTATCCGAAACCGTCGCCACGGGCAGATTTACATGATCGACGGCCTCATGTTTATTCATGTAACCTCCATGGTCAAATTAATACACCGCCGCGATAATTACCGATGCCGGACATACGCTCGCATCAGCGTCTCGTATAGGCGTGATGCTTATACGCGCGATATCACATTTTCATTTCATTAAGATCCATCATACCATTGGCACTTTCATCTACGAAAAAAATTTGCCTCTTCCGAATGCAAGAAGGTACAACTTATTACGTGATTATTCAATCTCTCGATCTCTCAATAGGTCTGAGGATATGTATGTTCCATTAAATCTGAAATTCTGATCGTAGATGAAATCGCGTGCGCATTACCGCCTTCTCTGCCTCGCTTTCCGAACAAAATTTCGACGCTGGGATAAATTTAGAACAACTGCCTCGCAGATGTAACTCAGCTACGCTCCACGTTTCTGCCTTAGTTTCGTATCGAGAAACATGCGAGAATCACACGCGTGTCCTCATGGCGAAAGTCGCGTTCGGGTATTTACGGGAGTGAATGCGGAATTTACGTTACGTTGAGGAGTCCTTCGAGACTCTAAAAAAATTCGATCCGTCCAAGAATCCAATCGGTATTCAGAAAAAACGATCGAAAGAGTAAATCTTTCGTGATTACATATTGATTACGATATTGATCATAATAATCAGCAGTTTCATAATAATCAGTAGCTTTAAACATCGATCATGCTATTTTAAACGGTGCTTGATATAGTTTTATAAATATACTTTATAAGTATATCTCTTGATTTGATTCTTTAATTACTATATTTTATTTTTCTATTTTGAAATCAGGGCTTCTCTAACAAACATTAATTAATACCAAACTTTAAACAATCAAGAGTTTAGTGATGCAAGTATTAATAAACTCGTGTGATTTAAATTAAAGCGAATCATTTTATAAGAAACTATATATATATATATATATATATAATAATATGTAAGTTAACTAC